GATTGATGGACTGACCACATCAATCAAGGTTGAGGGACTGATTACCTCATTCTCTCCTGTTCTTCACGATGCTCCTTTGTATGGACTGATGAAAGCCCATTGTGTGGCGAAACGTTTCTCAATAAAGATTATCATAAGTGTTTTGCACATGTGTCTATCTTATTCACCAACAAAAATATTTGTCTAATATTTTTATGCTACTCCCAAGTATTGATGTTTTTGTTTGACCGATTTTACTCATGTGCAAGTTGATTGTTCTACCATATTGTATTACTCTATACTATTACAACTATTATTACTACTATCCACTTAGTATTACACCTCCACTCCCCCCGCAATTCCCCAGGCGCAGCGGGAACCCAGTTGGTTCCATTCAAAATACAAATACATTTTGACGAAATAAACACATTAAACACTTATTAGGCACTATAGCTTCGGAAAATTAAATAATTTCCACATAGGTATTAATGAATCGACGACGAAAAACACCCAAAATATAACAAATACGATGTGTTATTTTAACATCTCAACAAATAATGTAATCAATTACATTTTAATATCATTTATTACATGTAATTAGGAAAAAACACATCTATACAAATACCAATGATTGGTATACAAGAATAAAAAGGCAAACTCCTTAAACGTTCTGCACATACAAAATTTTTACTTTTTTTATTAATGGACATCATCACATTGGAGACATACATACAAACATTCACAAACACAAGACATTTACACACAATTAAACGCAGCTGACCAGCCCGTTAGATTACCCACTGAACAAACACAAATTATCTCAAACCCTTTAACTCTAACGCTCTATATGCAGCGGGAAATTCTTTCTCCCAACTCCCCTCATTTTACCAACTGATTTCGACACTTTGTTCTAAGAATTGTTCCCGCAAAAACCGGATTTGCTATTACCTTAAACATGCCTCATACCCCAAATGGCAAATAAATATAATCGGCTACGACATACGACACTGCACGTTGTACACCAGATGTAAAACCCCACCCACATCAAAACTCAACGCCCTAAGTACGACAAAACCTCCCCCCCAACCATTCGAAAAACCCCTGCTTAACCACGCAGTACTAAAACCTAAATCTTCACAGAAATACACAACATGAAACGCTGATTCGTCCCCCCCGCACGCTGAACAACTCCGGTCCTCCTCTACACGCCGATTGGGACAACACCACCTTGGACGGCAGAATCCCGTGCAAAAATTTAAAACCACTTCGCATACTCGAGGAAGGAGACGAAACTGATGAACCCGCTTCCATACATCACCCCAAACGTGTACATGGGGAACATTCCCTGAACTCTCACCTCAACTTTCACCGTACCCACTCTTTCCCAAAAAGTACCAATTTAATGCTCCGCATGTTCGCATGCACAGTAACACACGTAGCATTGTATCGCACCTGATTACATCTGCCCCGTCCCCACCACCTGCGCAGGTCACGATACATTTCTGTTAAACCCCCATGCCTGCCACCAGTCGGAGAAAACGACGTTTCACATAACAAGCAATGACTGGGGTCTTTTAAAAAGGAACAAGACCTAACCCCCCTTGACGCATTGGTGTCTACCTGGAGTTACCTGGAGAGAGTTCCGGGGGTCCAAACGCCCGCGGCCGGTCTGAGACCAGGCCCTCCTGGTGGATCAGAGCCTGATACCCGGCTGTTGCTGCTGGCTGCCGCAAACCTTATACGAGCCACAGCCGGTTTGGATCCGGGGGAATGTTTTTAGGTGCTTTTTCCAGTGCCGCTTGAGACTGCCAGGGTTTGTTGGAAATCCCCCTTATGTGTGTGGGGGCAGTTGAACAGTCTCGGGCCCCGAACTTATTGTATGGTCTCTTAACGTGCTAGTGACACCCTGCTTTTCATTGGGGGGATGGTGCATGTCTGCCAAGTCTTTTGCTTTGTAGTGGGTGATTTTCGTGTGACCCAGTCGCACCCTGAGCCCACAAAAATCTATAAACTCTTTTTAAAAAAGATGTTTGAGATCCCCCTGTATTAGTGGATTACAGTGCAGCAACGTGCCAAACTTTACTATGAAGAAGAACATTAATTACTATCACCTTCTGGTGTGGGGTTTAAAATGTCGTGGCCGAGACTATTTATACGCCTCAATAAACTATTTACCACCCTCCCGAATTACATGCCCTCGTTTTTTTCAACCTCTCTCATATACTTTTATACCACATATGTTAACACAGTCGACCACCGTCCACGTCTCTAACATACCCCTCTCTGCCCAAATTCCCAACTTCATAATCTTTGATTTTTCTTTTGTTAACCCGCTTTCCCTGTTGCCTTACCAAATACATTACAAGTCTTCCCAAAACTCAATTGCTCCCTCGTACATAATAGGATAGTTGTATCATTACATAACCTACTATGGCAGGTCGATCACTACCCGAACCCCACGATGAATTACTCCCCGCCCACAAACTGTCCATTAAAAAAAGGGTCCTGCATGCAAGAAAAGAGCATTTGAGACATAGGGCATCCCTGTCGAATGCCTCTATTCAATTTGACAAAGTCTCCTAACTTCCCATTAATTTGTACTTGAAACCCAGCACCATTTACAAAGAACGAGCCCCACATGATGATCTCATTACCAAAACCCTCCATTTCATAAACTTCCACAGCAATCCCTTTCTACACTATCAAAAGCAGCTTGCCAGTCTAAAGCAAAAAACCACCCCCGCCCCTCATTCCGCATTCCTCAAAATCCAAACTCCCCCCCCTGATTTTCCCCATGACCATCATACTTTCGACCTACCTGGCACGCCAAACGGGCCCCTTATGTATTACCTTTTTCAAACACTTTTTTAATCCTATTCATTAAAATTTTTGCATATTAATTTATAATCACTACACATTAGTGATATTGGTGGAAATCCTTAAGTGATACGGGTATGTCACATTTTTTAACTAACACCAAATCCGCCGTACTCTGAGACAAACCTAAATGTCCCCCCCCTTTTCATCGCATTGAGTAAAACATACCAGAAAAGTCCTTATGACCTCCCAATGTTGAATATAAAATTCACACGGAATGCCATCAATACTGGGCCTTGCCTTGCACATTCCTGCAAAGCTCCCTACCTCAGCTTCAGTTATAGGCCACCCATGAGAAAGCGATCATTATCATTCAACTCACATCGTACATTCCCCCCCCAAATTTTCCCGTATTGCATCCACGCTTACATCTTTATTTAGCATTTTGGATTAAACATTTATAAACATAATAATTTTTCCCTTCAGTTGTTGTTACAACCTGACCCTCATATACCCTTCAAAGCCATCCTTTCCACCCCTAAACTCACGATTTCGGTCACCTTCTCCTTTGTGTCTGACTAGTAAGACACAAGCGGATGGCTTATCACCCCACACAGCTCCTTTAGCTCCATCGAAATCACGCCCCATCAAAAACCGTATTTTTCAGCACCCGGATGTGTTCCTTTAGATTGTCAATCTGTCCACTGGGTAAATTCAGATATCTCCTTGCGCATAACAGTGCTGTAAAGAACCTCCAGGTACCTAAAAATCCTACTCCAATCGAGAGGCTCCTTACCCCGATGTACATAAAAATCCTTAATTTGAGGCTTCATAACCCCGTCCCATTGTCGCACTAAATTACTATCTTTCAAGGAGTTTTACTCCCATAGACGTCCATAAGTGCGTGAAGAGTGTCTTATCTTCTGCACTTTGAAGTAAAAGAGTATTTAACTTCCAAAATCCTTTAAAACGAGTCGGGAGACCTCCCCCAGTCGAGCTCTACGAGAAACACCGGATGGCAGAGAAATACACATCTAACACACGCACTTTGGTTACAATACCCGCCGAGACAATATACCCTGTCTAAGCGGCAGCATAGTCCTTACGCACGAAAGTTTTGCTCATTCCCTAAGTCACTGCTTCCACTTACATCCAACAACCCCAGCCCCCGACAACAAATCACCAAAATAATCGAACAATAACCCGTCCCTCGGTTCTACGCCTTTTACGGTGCACCACACAGTTCCAGTCGCCACAACCACTGTTTTATCAGGCAGGGATCTCAAAAAAGTACCAAGAACTCGTTAACAAAAATATTTTTAATATTAACTTTTTGTTCAGCTGGCCCATATACTCCACAAAACCAACCCGTTGAGTACCCCACTCACCTATGATGCATACCACGCGACCCCCCCCCCCCTTTCCTCCCAATGTTTCATCACGAACGGGCTGGTGCTTTTATCAACACAGCCACACCACCTTTTCAAAAGCTCAAGTGAGCCATATAAACATTCATAACCCTCTATCGCAAACGAACTTCCAACTTTATGGGTTTTGTTCTTGCACGAAACATACGTCTACTGCAAAGCGATTTCAACACTCATGAACCTGCACTTGCTTTTTTGTTATTTTTCATTTCCATTAACATTTATGGTTAAAACACCTAACTTTGCTAACGGTGGCTTTCCTCGAGGGACACCACACCCTTTTTCCCTTTACGTTGACTAACGCCTAAGGCGCCACCTTTCTTGTTTCTTCTCTGTTATTTACTTGCTGTCCTGAAAAACCCCGCGACCCTCCACCCGTGAATTCCGACCAGTCTTCTTCCAGAACGCTGTCCAGGGGTCCCAAAACATCGTCGGAAATCGGGTGGGGTAGCCGCACGCTTCCCAGAAAAAAGCTCCTCAGCTTTATCAGACCCTGTAATTTTTCTTCTTGTAATTCTACCGCAACAGTATGAACTCTCGGACCTTCTACCTCACTTACGTTAATTAACTGATCGACATCCTTTAACTGTGTTCTCTCCCCATCTGAACACTCAACGCAGGCACACATGGCACAGAATAATATTCCTGCGAAGTAAAGGTCGCTCAATGTCGATACAATGTTAGCTTCCATGTCAGCATCCTCTCTTGCTTGAGGGCCCCTCACGTCCACCATGTTCTACCAATCATGGTTGACCGTACCCGGTAGAGTCACGCAGGATGACTCTACGAGCATTTGGCCCCATCCACTTCATCACTCCACGATTTCGGTGCGGTAAGTCCCCGACTACTTCATTGCCAGAATCCGACGAGGAGCCTCCCATCCGGACGACGACCACGTCTGAGGGCGGCTGGCGCTTAACGCATTGTGCAGCAATGTGATCCAATAAGCCGCAAAGGGCGACAAGTTCGTCTCTGTCCAGGATACGTAACATACACCCGGGGTACGGAACTCCTCTAGGTTTATGTACGAAGGTATTGGTTGGGCAGGGACATTTTCAACGTGAAAGACCCTTCTTGTAAACCAGCAAAGTGGCCATGACCCCCGACCCATAGTAACCTGGTGGATCGTCCCATAGTATTTGAAAGGCATCACGTATGTCAACTTCGTTAGCCTCAAAAGGCACGTTTCGCACACGTACCCCCGTTATAGTATTGTGAAACGTCGTGCAATTTAAATGTGACTGCTGGGGTGATTGCTTGCTAACATCCTGATTTTGGTTGACAATCTGCTCCCTAGGTCTGGTATTACAAAACTTGACAAAAAATCCGGGATTAGTCCATTTAAGGCAATGCACACCGGATTCACGCTGGATGCCATATAATCACGGATGATCATCGGCCACCAACACATTAATCGATGCAAATGGGGATTGTGCCCTTTATGAGGTCAATACAAACAGTATTAACTCTCCTTCGAAAACCAGTCGCCATTGTTGTTGTCGTCGCAAAGCTCCTCCACCAGGTGTCGGGAATGAGGAGAGACAGCTGTCTCACGAGAATTGATAAAGTAGACAGATTGTTTGAGAGGCAGGAAACGAGAACTTAAGTTTTATTTATTTATTTATTTATTTATTAATTTGAACATGATACATAGAAGTACAAGGAAATACAGTGGTTAAGTGTAACATGCCAAAGCCCCTTGTATGCAGAGCATTATGGGCAGGCTTAATAACTTAAGATTAACTAAGCAATGATATATTCAGTGGTAACATTGTTGTAAACAGTTAACAATTAAGCACAAATGAGTATTTCAAAGACAGGTCATATGGTCTTTTACTGTGTTGCTGAGCATTCAGTAGAATGGAGTATTCTGTTAAGTAATGTAATTAAAAATAACAAAGTTTGATTGGGTCACAGGTTAAATATTTATGAGATACAATTATTCAGTATTTATTTGGTTGTGGGTGAGTAAGTGATTTTTAAGAAGAGACTTGAATTTATAAACAGTGTTTCTTTTATATTCACAGGTAGTGAATTCCAGATTTTTGGGTTTTTTATGTGCATTGAGTGTTTGCATAGTGTGAGATGGACACGAGGAACATCAAATAGCGATCTGTGCCTTGTGTTATGGTCATGTGTTCTGTTGAGGTTGGTAAGGAGACGTTTAAGGGGAGGGTTTATATCCGAGTTAAGTGTTCTATGTATGTAGTAGGTACAATAATAAGTATGGATGTTTTGTATGGTGAGTAGGTTTAGAGTTTTGAATATTGGTGGAGTGTGTTGCCTGTAGTGGGAATTTATCATTCTGACTGCAGCCTTTTGTTGGGTAATTAATGGTCTGAGATGGTTTATTGTTGTTGAGCCCCATGCACAGATTCCATAGGTGAGGTAGGGGTAAATAAGCGAGTGATACAGGGCCAGGAGGGCTGACTGTGGAACACAGTACCGTATCTTCGATAATATGCCTACGGTCTTGGAAATTTTCTTGGAAATTTGTTGTATATGTGTTTGAAATTTGAGTCTATTATCAAGGTGGATTCCTAAGAATTTTCCCTCTGTGAGCGTTGTGATAGGTGATCCGTTTATCATTATGTTAAGAGGGACATCTGTAACTCTGTTACCAAACTGAATGAAGTAGGTTTTGTCAATGTTGAGAGTAAGTTTGTTAGTCCTCATCCAGGTAGATATTTTCTGTAATTCGGTATTCACAGTATTGGCTAGCATGACTGGGCTCGGGTGAGAGAAGACGTATGTAGTGTCATCTGCAAATAGTGTGGGTTTGAGTAGTTACGATGCATTTGGTAGGTCATTTATGTAAACGAGAAAGAGAAGAGGGACAAGGACACTTCCCTGTGGGACACCAACTGTAATTGGCTGTGCGGGAGTTTGCTCCATTTATGTACACATATTGGCTTCTGACTTCAGGTAGTTGAGGGACTGCCCTCTTATACCATAGTGCGACAATTTTATGTGGAACAAGTCGTGGTCATCTGTATCAAAAGCTTTACGTAACTCAATGAAGATTCCCAGTGGGACTTCTTTATTCTCTAGTGCAGTGTATACTTGTTCTAGCATGTCAGGTATACACAAATGCAGTTACATAAATTATCATACATAGCAGCATATGTGTAGAGAACACAGTTGGGAACGCAGCTGGAATTAATTACTATAAAATGCGCCAAACTCGTATTAGTTATACAGTATTTTATACCATTTAAGAGTAATTATAGGAATGTTTTTTTTCAGACCTGATGCACTGCAGTGTGGACCGTGTTATCCCAACCGGTGCCAAGCTATAGGAGAGTGTCACAGAGGCATCACCTGGGATGTCTGCAACTGCTGTGAAGTCTGCGCCAAGGTTTGATAACTCACTCTTTTATATATATATATATATATATATATATATATATATATATATATATATATATATATATATATATATATATATATATATATATATATATATATATTAGATAATCGTAGGTCGTGCAAATATTGAGTGAGTTGGGTAGATCTCCTGTAGACTATCACGAACAAAGGCACTGTCAAATGACTTGCAGTACCAGCGTTAAATGCACTCAAGGAGCAATCATTGAGGAGTAAAGTATACATAGTAGAATAAGTTTTGGTTTCACATATACCCTTATCACCAAGAATATATGTACAAAATATTTACAACTATGCATAGAGTTTAGGACAAATTTAACCTAATAGTGAACAGAGTTTGGAACAAAGTATCAGAACATTAGCTACTACAGCTATAGTGTTAGTCAGCCATAGGCAGAAGAGGGTTTGATGAGCTGGGTTGTTCATATAAGTGGCCACTCAGATTGTCAACCCTCTCTGAAACGTCAGACAGCCTGCAGCACCTCGTTAGCACCCCGTACCAGGATGGCGGATTCATCCTGACAAGCAATAACTAGCCTGGCAAACATGATATGTCGGAAAATGGCTCTGTTTAGAGTACGTTAAATACAGAGGGCTGAATTAGCTGGAACTACTTTCTGTGGCATGCACCGTTTGGTTATTGCACCCGGTGCATGCTATGGATTGAACAGGATTACTTTTGTTGAATAGGTTATAACAGCTGATGGATGCAGAGCCTAGTTTTGGAGGTGCTGGATATCCCAGGAAGATGTATATAGCATGTGTATTAAGAGCGGTATAGCTGGTCTAGGAGGGTTATTATTGCAGTCACGGGGAAACGCTAAACTCATATGGGTTATGTAGCATCTGAGCAATGAAAGGTAGTCAGGTTTGAACTAAGCACTTCCCTTCCCTCCCTTTTTCAGATTGTCCTATTTAATATGAATCTTTTGAAAACCGACAAGTTGAAGAATTGAGACACTTATGGAACACATGGGAATCTTTATTGAAGAAACGTTTCGCCACACAGTGGCTTCATCAGTCCTATACAAAGTAGAAATGGGTAAGGAGAGGAGGAGTTCGAGATAATCAGTCCCTCAAATCAGGTTGAGGGACTGATTATCTCGAACTGTGGTCAGTCCATCAATCTTGAACAGATTGATGGACTGACCACATCGACTCAAGGTTGAGGGACTGATTACCTCATTCTCCTCCTGTTCTTCACGATTCTCCTTAGTATGGACTGATGAAGCCATTGTGTGGCGAAACGTTTCCTCAATAAAGATACCTAAGTGTTGCACATGTGTCTAATTTATCACCAACAAAAATATTTGTCTAACCTATTTTTATGCTACCCAAGTATTTATTTTTTTTTGACCTTTTACTCATGTGCAAGTTGATTGTTCTACCATATTGTATTACTATTACTATTACAACTTATATTACTACTACTACCACTAGTATTACACCTCACTCTAAGAATATATATACCCTCTGTGTCCATGTATTGTTTGTAATGGCTTGATAAAGCTCCTGGAGAGCGAAACGTTGCCACAATAAAATGTCACATTAGTTGCGCTTGTGTCCTTTTACTTTACACTTGATAATGAATTTGATAATGCTTCCATTTGCAATTTGTGGGATAGATGTACCTTGACGTTGACTATATACGTAATCGGGTTTACAGGGAGTGAACGAAGAATGCGGAGGACCCTGGAACGCCTACGGCAAGTGTGGGTACGGACTGACTTGTCTAAAGGATGCCCGTGAGTGCCCCTATCTGTTCCATCCCAGGGGTTCCGCTGCCGACACTGGCTCCAACATTTGTGATGAGTACCTTTTTAACGGTAAAAGCATCCTCTCTGACTCCGCTGCTCTTCCAGTTGTCAATTTTCATCAAATAATTTTTTTTTTAATTCTATCACGACATAATATTTATTTTATAAATTTCTTTTGCAGCCATCGGGAGGTGTGTACAGAGTGAGAATGTAGTGGAATCTGCCTTCAAGAGGAACATTGTCAAGGAGGTGATAGATGTAGAAAAACAAAAAGATAATGCCGAGGCGGCGCCCAAAGAAGGCGACTCTATGGTGGGCAAGAGGCTCATGCTCAAGGGTGTGTTGAGGGGCGTGGAATACTGAAGTGAGGTCAGGCTACCCCTGCCGCTCACTACCACCTGCTGTTACGCTCCCGGGTCTATATAAGGCCTTTATCATATACTTTCTTTCTGATTAGAGCATAACAACTATAGGCAGCGTTAGGGATAATTTAATAGTCTTCAATAAAACTTCTTTTAATTAAGCAGTTAATTAGATCATAAAATGTAAGGCAAGTAAAATTTATACTATTATACAGTATCTTTGTCAAGAACGCTTACTGCACATTCTACATTACCAAATTGCTAGATAATGCCTTGAAATGCATGGTTATAGAGAGACCTTAAATCGGAGTTATATACAGATACTCCTTCAGAGTAGAATATCTAGTCTTCATACTAGATTAGTCAGTGTATTATACAATTTAATAGAATATATAAATTGAAGAAAACCAACAGCAGTTAGTGTATAAGAGCAGAACAGGAGTGTTGACTCGTTGGCTGGTATTTCACACTCTTCCACTCTACAGCGAGGGTGAAGGTTAGGTAGGTCACGTGACTTCTACCATCACATTTACACAGGTGGAGGGGGGGGGGAGTGAGGGGTGTATAAACAATTGAACAGTTTATTGGAAATTTAACTCCACATCTTTACCTTTCACAGGTACGCAGACCAATAACAAAGTGACAATACACTAGAAGTTAACCCATTGTGGCCACATAAATATAATATACAAACAAATAATCTTAACATACAAGGACATTCATTTCCAATTTAGCTATTAAAGGAAATGAACGCAATGTAATATTAAAGAAAATAAAGGTTAACAATAGGAGCAAAGTAGAAGAGGCACAACACTCCGGTCCACAAGATAATATCTTGACGTTTTGGTCGTTACGAGCGTGGAATGAATATCATGTCCGCTGAGGAACGACTCAAGTGACGGAGATCTATCTTCTCCAAGTGCCGCAGCAATCCACTTCTAGATCAGGATCAGACATACTTCTATTACTGTCAAGAAATTTTGCGGTTAATCAAGCCATTAGGAACGAGACAAAGCGCCGGCTAACACACTATTAGATCCTTTTATGCGAAAAATAGAAATCCGGTAGGGGTGGATCCTTAAAGCCCACCTTAATATTCTAGCATTCTTAGATTTCATCGAATTTATAAATGTAAGTGGATCATGATCAGAGTGAATATTTACCACATGAGAATAGCCAAGATATACGTCAAAATGCTCCTATAAAAGTACTGCTAGGGCTTTTTACGTGGAAT